AACATAATCTGATTTATTTAGGATGACCGTATTGCCTCCTTTGTCAGAGGGTTTAAAAATCACCTCATCCATATCTTTCAGTTTTTTAAGGGAAATACTTTCTTGTGGAGATATATTGCTATTAGGCTGAGTTGGCAGATCTTTCTGGTTAATTTTATCAATTTCATTGCATGTCATCTCCACAAATAGGTCTATATACTTAAAGTCCACTAGATGTGGAGTAAACAGGCTTTTCTTTTTCAATTGTGTGAATGGAGGTTGTTTTTGTGTAGAATCATCATTGCAGGTGAGCAGGTCCACTAGTATATCCAGTGCACCTATGTCAGAGGCTTGTAGCCCTAGATCCTTTGCCCTTTTTTCATCTTTCATCTGGTGAAATTTGTGCAGAGCCAATTTTATTGCAAAAAGGTGTATGTCCTTTGTCCAACTAAATTTATCAAAATTAGAGACTGGGACAAAGGACATACCCCGCCGCAAGACTTGTAGCTCTACTTTTGTGGGAGTGTATGAAGACAGATTAATAATCTGGTTATCGAGAGGGGCCTGATCTAATAGCTTTTCCTTCTGAACTGTTGGGGTGGTCTGCCTCTGTTGCGTGTCCGTGGGGCTATGTTTTCTTCCATACTGGGTTGTCCTAAAAAAGAAACCCCTCTTTTCAATATGCTTTTAGTATTTCGTTCAAATGGAACTGAAGGGCCCCCTTTGGATGATTCTGAATCTGAACCACTCGTCTCATATTCTGATGTAGATATTGGTTCAGAAAAACTCCTCCTAAAATTTCTATTTTTCTTATATACATTCCCACTCTTGAAATCATTATTGTCTGTAATAAACTTGGAGTGTTTCTGAATTTTGATTTTTTGCTGGAATTTGTCCAAGTTATTCTTAAGTTTTGTCTCTAATGATTCAAAATTTGGTTCATCTTTAAAGGCTGCGATCTTATTGTTTGAACTCCCTTCATATTTAAAGGACACCAAACATACATTAAATATCATAGAAGGGATTAAAATCACTGGCCATGCTATCCTCTGTAGCCTTGATGTGGAGAGCTTATTTAGCTCAATACCACATGAGGTGGGTTTACAACATCTTCGAGCAATCCTAGATAGCAAACCAATGTTTTCACTAAGACACAATGAATTTGTCCATGATCTGATGCAGTTCATTTTAACACATAATCATTTTATCTTCCAGGGTAAATACTACCACCAGGTGAGAGGAACAGCTATGGGGACGACGGCTTGTGCCCCCTCATATGCCAACCTCTACCTGGGGTGGTGGGAGAGTACTATGGTGTTTAATGAACACATGCAAAAATATACAAGACATATAAGAATATGGAAAAGATACATCGATGATGTATTGATCATATGGACAGACACCTCTGAACTCTTTTTAGAGTTTGTTAACAATTTAAATTTAAATCATATCAATCTGAGACTGACGAGTGAAATTGGCGGCAACAAAATTAATTTTCTAGATCTTACTATTTCCCTGTCAGATGGAGGGGTGCTTACATCTACCCTCTTTCGGAAACCTACGGCAACCAACAACTTGTTGAACTGGACAAGCCACCATCCACCTTCCCTGAAAAAAGGGATCCCAGTTGGACAGTACCTACGACTAAGACGTAATTGTTCCACCGTAGAAGATTTTAAACTGAAGGCGAAGACTCTGCAATACCAGTTCAAACAAAAGGGGTACCCAAATAAATGTTTAAAAAATGCATATAAACGGGCATTATTGGGAGACCGTAAAGATCTCCTATTTGAAAGTAAGGTAGGGCCACCACAGGAGATTATTAGGTGTATAGGGAACTTCGATGCAGGTTGGCATCAAATCATGAGTATCCTCGATAGGTTCTGGCCCCTTCTACACCAAGACCCACATCTTCATAGGGTGATTACACCCAAGGCATCAGTAACAGCAAGAAGGGGGCGTAATATCAAGGATATACTAGTCCCTAGTCACCTTAAAACAGTATCTCAAAAAACTTCATGGCTGAAGTCTCCTGTCCTAGGCACATATCAATGCGGTAGATGCAAGGCGTGTAAATTTATACACAGACCCTCTAAAACATTTTCAGACTCCTTGGGCGCACAAGAATTTAAAGTTCGTAATTTCTTTAACTGTCAGTCCAAGGGTCTTGTATACCTACTTATTTGCTCATGTAATAAGTTATACGTGGGAATTTTTTTTCGTAAGTTCAAACTTAGAATTAGGGAACATGTTAACTCAGTTAACCCCGGAAGACAAATTGATACCCCAATTTCTAAACATTTGAAGTCCCATCATGGGGGGTCCCCATTAGGGATCAGATTTTGTGGCATTGAAAGGGTCACACTTGGACCAAGAGGGGGAGATTTAGATAAAAGATTACTTCAAAGAGAGAGCTTTTGGATTTACAAGCTCAAAACTTTGTCACCACTTGGATTAAATGAGGGTTTCTCTTATACACCCTTCATTGCTGACTAAAGAATCCTGGTCTGAACATGTCTCTTCCTCTCTCATCTCTATTTCATGATTAACATACGATATGTATGTATTTACACTTTTATAAATTAGCTTAATATGCCTGATACACTTGTAAATTTTGTAATATAGCGTGTGTAGTGTTTAGTTTATATATGCATATATACCTTTCTAATTTTTCTTTTATTTCATTTTCTTCACAGTTTTGACTATTAATTTAGACATGAATACCACTTCAACGACCATATAAATATAATATCTCAAAATGCACATCTGTGATATATAGAGATGGGCATACTCCTTTATTTATTTCTTTGTCCATACTCCAGGTGATCATTATGGAGTATTTATATTTAGATATCTGGACATCTTAATAATGAGGAAGCCCTTCATATAGTCAGTCTTTATTTGATATTCTATATATCTGATAATATAGGGAGGACTTCACAATAAGATGTATCACTGTAACTGAATACTTACCTCTTCTTTGTCACCCGCTTAAATTACTAGACACATTTAGTTTTGACCAACATCTTCAGAAGATTTTTATGTTGAACCATTAGCCCCTTTGCTTTTTGCGCACCCGCCCACCTGACTGTGAGGGGCGGAGTAATCTTTAGTTGTAATAGGGGATCGCCGCACATTTTACATACCTAATCACGCCCACGACGTGTCCCAGTTAGCTTTCCGTCTTGCTGGCCAGACCACGTGACCCATAGGATACCGGGTCACGTGCCCGGCAGTAAGCCCCGCCTCCATATGTATTTCGTAGCTTACCAGGACACGGCTACATATCGGAGATTACACACAGCTGGTTATTCACACCCCCAGATCCTATTGGTCTAAGGTATTCATGCCTCCTGGCAATCTTTGTATTTAAGAGACTCTCAACTAGTTTCTTGTTGGCCCCTGACGAAGGTGCTCCTCTATAGCACCGAAACGTACGTTGGGCATTCTCTTCTCATATCATGTATATGAGCACTGGGCACTGGTGGCTGTAGCACCATGATTTTTATTTAACACTTATTTCTATTTCTCTACCTATTTCCTATGCCTGTCTAGTTAGATTTACAGGGAGAGAGGCTTGCTTAATTTTAAATATCAGTCTGTTTTTTAGACTGAATACTGACTATATTTCACTTTCCATCTCTCCCCTTTATCTTAGCTCTATTGTGAGCCTTTTGTTACACTAACTATTGACATTTTTAAGTGGGGTACTATGTTGGGGATTTAGCCATTTGTAACTCATACCCTTATAGTGAATTATAATAAAGCTGATAATTAGGGTTGAGGCAGGATACTAGATGGCAGATTTCTATCCCCATGCATACCCCCTTTATTTGGCATGGAACTCGAGTCACACTTGTATATACTTTATTTGACTTTTTCTGTTTTTGGGTCTCTAGTTATATTTATAATTTTGTAAATCAGGTTTTTGGATTACACTCTATCGCTATAGACATTTCCAGATATGTGGTTAGTCTCTAGGACATAGGGAGACTGACTGCATTGTGCAATATTTCTTGTTTCTTGTTTACTTGGGGTTAAGCCCTGTTTGGGATCTCTGGAGTCCCATACTGGTACACTGGTTTCTGTGTGACATCTGTCACTACACCCTGGGTTTATTCCCGGGGGGCAGCCTGTACGGGTGTATACACAGAGACGCTGAACCGTGTGTTCATTGCTTTCTTATTATACACACACACCTGTATTATACAGAGAGCAGCACTATACAGGAAGCACTGACTGTATAATACAGGTCTGTTTGTGTATAATATCCCAAGACAGAGCGCAGGACTATACAGGGAGCACTGACTGTCCCGGGATATTATACAGACACAGGCCTGTATTATACAGAGAGAAGCACTATACAGGGAGCACTGACTGTCCCGGTATATTATACAGACACAGACCTGTATTATACAGAGACCAGCACTATACAGGAAGCACTGACTATCCCGGGATATTATACACACAGACCTGTATTATACAGATAACAGCACTATAGTATTATACAGATAACTGAGCATATACCCCATGTCCCAATCTCTAGACTACTAGTACCTGTCAACAGCAGCTCCCAGACGCGTGTAACAGGACTAAAGTGTGCGGCAGCTCACACAGATGATTCAACGGTAAAGCGCACTCGCTGGCAGAGCCAAACTGGGAATCCAAAGCAGCTCTGGAAAAAAATGTATGCCATTCCTACAAGTCAAAATATATATATATATATATATATATATATATTGACATATATATATATTGTACAGTAAGCACACAAGCTCACTGACATGCGCAAATGGCTCACTGACAGACAAAACTCTCTGACTCACACACAAGCTTACTACAGACAAACTCACTTGTATAAACACAAGGCTCACTACAAAGAAGATCAGGGACACACACAAGCTCACTAAAGACAAGCT